CCCACTGGGAAACGGTACCGATTTTCCAGGAAGGGGACTGCACTGGGCGCCAGGGGCCTGAGCCCCCTTAACCAGAGAGCGGGAAAGAAATGGAATCCCATCGCGTTCTGGATGTAAGTGCCAGCACTTCCACTTGCATTAACTTTATTTATTACACAAATAAGACATTTACAAAGCACAACATGAAAGGTATGTAACAAAACAGACATTGGTTTTACAAAAAAGTGCTTACAATTTTTTTCCATGTGTGTGTTTTCCCCTTTTGTTTTGTGTTTAAATAAATAGTCTTGATGGCCTGTACGTTCCCAGGCTGCTCTAACAGGCTAGCGGAGACATGTCTGAACTGCAACATGCTATGACCACGTGATCCACGCGAGGAACAGACCCTGGCAGGAGGCTCAAGGCAGAGTGGGTTCTGGGTGATCCTGGGCAGGGCTCAACTGGCCGCTGATTGCATGGTTGCACTTGGGACCTCAGGAGCAAAAATCAAAGGACAGGTCAGAGTTGCCCAAGGCCAAGGATCAGGCCCGAGCCGCTCCTGTTAACGTCACCCCCAGCACAGGGCCGGGTACACGTTATTCACCGGATGAGCTGTACTGACCACATTCTCAGTGGTGACTTCTCTCTGCCCTGAGTCAGCTGGAACTGTCTTCAGAAGGGAAAGGAAGGAGTTCTCTTCTTGGGCTGCCTAGCCTTTCTCCCGGTCCCAAAGCAAGAATGACATAGAGACATTCACTTTAAGTGCCAACTTTTCAAGCATGTGGATTCTGCAAACTTATGCAGACTCGTGAGATAGAGTGTGCTGTAATTGATTAGCAATGTCTGCCATGGGTGAAAATAGAGACAGCCAATACATATGTGCCGTGGACTTGCTTCCCCTGCCTTAGAGTCTCCTTCCAAAGCCAACATATCAGGTTAACCAGATCAGGAAAGAGGACTTGGGCTAAAACATGCTTACTAGCAGCCTCTAGTGGGAAATGCATCGGGACACTAAGTACTCAAAAAAATTACTGGATAAACTTGGGACAAATGGGCGTCCCCTTGAATACATAAATCATGGTCTTGCGTAGCCCAAGCCCTTTTGTTTGGGGTGGAAGAGCTGCAGCAGGACAGGGTGGATGTGAGCGCAGCTGTGTCCGTTCTCAGGAGCGGGTGGGGGAGCCCAGCGGTGCCGGCTGGAATCCTGGGCTTGGCATGCTCACCTAGGCAGCGAGCACCCTCTCTCTGCTCAGAGATGAATCAAAACTAACATTCTGCTGTCCCGATGCATTTCCCTAGGCTCTGTTCCCAGTCCCCATGAGTGGTCCCCCCAAGGAAGACATGGCCCAAGCACCCCCACCGGGAGTCGATGAGTAGCCAACAAGGGCCCCCACTGTAACCTGCCCAAACATTGGGAAATGTCGTCACACAGATCAAACCCCATCTCTGCTATGTTGCTTGTATATGTGCTGGATAACTAGGGGGGAGGGGGGTCTCCCACACACACCCCGAGTTTTCTCTTTCCTCTCCCAGCCCAATGTGCCTTATCCTTCTCCTTGAGCTCCAAACCAATGGGGGTCTGTGTCCTCCCCACCCCACCCTCAGCCCCCTGCCTCCTGGTCTGGGCAGGCTTCGATCTCTGCCCCGCTATGCCTCTCAGGGTTGGTCAGTGTCTCTTCTCTCTCTGAATTAATTTGACATAACCAGACAGATGGAAATGATAAAATAAGAACATAGCTTTCCTTTGGGGACATCCCACAGACACTGCAGTTTTCCAGACAAAAGCAAGAGAGTGGATAACATTGGGGGTTGCCGGCTACTTGGAATTCAGAGATGGTTCCAACTTGGGGGGGGTAGAAAACCTGTAAATGAGAAGGCTGTTGGCGTTGCACAATTCAGTTCGGCCTTTTGCTATTGTAATCAGCCTAAGTTGAAGATGGGTCCTGTCTAAGTGGGAAAAACTAGCTGTCGCGTTCACCCTGTTTCCAAATTTTAGGGAGCACTGTCTTCCAAGAGGAGGACTCCACGGCGCTCCTGGCCGGTTCTGGTTCTCAGCAGGAGAGGGCGTGGCTAGGCCCGGGGGCCCAGCTGGTGGCGGGCAGGATGGCAGATAAGGGGTGGATGCAGAGGTGGGTGGGTCCCTGGCAGTGGCTTGGACGCTGGATCTCAGCGGCTGAGGGGCAGCTGTGGGGTGCCCATGGACAGGTGCGGAAGTGCCGGCAGCGTCAGTACTGAAAAAGGATGACCTGCAGAAGGAGGGCATGGAAGGTGGCTGAGCTTCGGGCCTGACCCGCTCAGTGGCCCCCCAGATGTCCTCGAAGGCACAGAGAATGTGGGTGGCTCAGGGCCCAGATCTGGGTTCAAACCCTCGCTCTGTCACTTACTTGCTGTGGGACCTTGGGCAACTCACTTCACTTCTCTGAGCTTGTTTCCTCATCTGTAAAATGAGGGTAACAAAACCTCTCTCTCAGAATGGGGAGCATCCAGTGAGATACAAGAGCAGCGGCAAACATCTGCTGAGCACGCACCCTGCGCCTGGCACTGCATAAATTACCCAACACGGAAACTTCGCTTCAACCCAAAGGGCATCCTACCATCATCTCCATTTTACAGGGGAGGGCGCTGAGCCTCAGAGAGGTGAAAATCAGTGAGCCCACAATTGCACAGCTAGAAAGAGGTGGAACTAGCACTGTAGCCCAGGCTTGGGTCCAGAGCAAGCTTTCTTCATTATATCACACAGCCTCTACCTCTCCAAGGCCACTATGACAACAGTCATCGACGCTTACTATGCACCAGGAGATGGGCCAAGCACGTCATGTGCACTCAGTCTTCGCAAAGCCAAGAGGCAAGCAGATGGCTCAGACATGCTAGGTGCCTGGCACACAGTGGGTGATCAGGAAATATCTGCCCTTGTCCTCTCTCTTCCACCTAAAGCATGTGGCTAACCTCTTATTGCCATAGACACAGCCAGTTCCTGAAGTTCAAGTCAAGGATTCCTGGCTTCCTGGTCAATGAGTTGTGCCTTTTCACAGTAAAGTTTCAGGAGGAAGTTTCAAGTGGTCCAGGAACAACAAGTGGGTATGGCCAAAGGGCTGTCCCTGAATGTTACATGCCCAGACTGGTTACCATGAGGAAGAGATGGAGGAAAGCAATGGTGATGGTCTCCGTAAGAGCAATCGTACCAATAACCACCACCTAGGGGGCACTTTCTACATAGCGGGCACTCTGCTGGCCTCTTTACATATGTCACTGCATCTGCTCTCAGCAACGAGCTTGGGTGGTGGGATCTGACCTATTATCTCCATCTTGCAGATGCAGGAACTAATTGCGTTCCCAGGTCTCAGAGCAAGACGGTGGCAGACCTGGGACCCAGAGTCTGCCTGACTCGGAGCTCACGCTGCATTGCCTGACCCTCTCACTCAACCTCGGGCAGTGCGCTCCTCTGGCCTCTGAGATGCCTGGCTTTGCGCTCTTATTAAAAGAAGCTCTCTCTTGGGAGAGATGGCTCTGGTAAGACCGTCCCCTCCGTGGACCTCGGTCTCTCTATCTGATCAAAGACAGCTTGGCCCTGATCTCTAAAAGCCTTCCAAGCTCTGAAATTGTGGTATCAGAGGCCATGACCAGGAAGAAATGTGTTTCTGGAAACTCACAGGTGTGTATGGCCAAATGATGATGTGGTGGGAGCAGAGGGTGCTACTCCCGGATGCTCAGAGCCTACTTTCGTGACCAGGCCAGCGCTGGTCTTGACGAGTGGGTTCATGGGTCTGCACCAGCGGACACCGAGTCTCCTCACAGCTAGCTGGCTCAGGCCTGGAGGGACCTGGGAGAAAGCCCTGAGCCAACTGACCACACACAGCCCACCAGGCCCCATGGGTTTGGCAAGATGTAGACAGAAAATGTCCCCGTGGGCTGGCAGGAAGGCCTGACAGTGAGAGGGCAGGCCATGAAGGAGGGGGAGACAGTTTTCTGCAGAGCTGCTAGATGTGAAGCTAGGGCTGCAGCCCAGCGAGAGAGAGCTCTGGCTCAGCAGCCAAACCCAGAAACCTCCTACAGCCAAAGCTGCCAGATCCCAGCCTGTCTCATCCTTCAGGCTGAACTAGACATAACCACAAGCTTAGCTGAGCAACCAGAAGGTAAGGGCTCATCTCCAAGCTCTGAGCCCAGCCCTAAACACTTCTGGGGCCCTCCAGATATCACCCAAGCCCCTCACCCAGCGGTCCAGACCCTTCACTACGTGACCCCTGTGAGCTCCCCTCGCTTCCCTGGGCCTCGGCCACACCAAACACCCCTCAGTCCCTCAAACCCAGGTCCCCCACGTCTCTGTGCCTAGCATGTCCGCTTCTCCCGACGTGGAGCACCCTGCTTCTCAATCCCTGCATCTCACTCCCTTTTCTGGGTCCTGGAAGGCCATGTTCATCCCTCACCTCAACTGCCCTGTCACCCTGGGGTGTAGCTCCGTCTCCTGCTCTAAGCCACACATTCCCTGAGGACAGAGACCGTGCCAGCTGGCTTCTGCAGTCCCTGTGCCAGGTGTGACGGGATGAAAGCTGTCCCGCAGAGGGGGGCATCTCCGAGGCAGGCAGTCCTAGGACCGAGGCCAGCGCTGCCATGCTTTCTGTGTGGCCCTGGGTGAGCTACTCCTCTGAGCCCGCGTCTGCAGGTGTCTGCAGATGTGAAACGAAGTCAACCGTAATCATCCTCCCACAGAGGCTGTGGAGGGTGAGGTCAGGGAGAGCACTGTGCAAACTGTAAAGTGCTGCACGAAAGGAAGTGGTGACTGAACTAGGCAGACCTCAGAGTCTCACAGACTCACTGCATCCCTAGGCAAGTTGTGTCACCTCTCTGAGCCTCTCTGTACCTCTGTTCCCTTATCTTTACCATGAGGACGCCATGCTCACCCCCACAGAGTGGTTGAGAAGTGTCACTCAGACGTGTATAAAGTATCTGCCATGAACAGAGGACTCGTTCAACAAACAGTAGCTCTTACAGTGAGTATCACAGTCCAAAGGGGAAGCTCCTGGGGCGTGCTCAGCCACCCCAGGTGCTGCAGGATTTTGCCTTGAGCACTACCGGTTACTTAGAAACCTATCGGCTCAGCTAAGTTGTCTATATCTCCACATCCTATACCTTCCTTTGCGTGCCCAGCACAGAGCCCGGCACACAGTAGGTGCTCAGTCAGGAGGCACAGTCAGAGGCTGTCCTGGAGAAGGGGTCCCCACCCCTGGCTGCCTGCCAGAATCACGTGGGCTGGGTATTACACTCGCAGGTCCCCAGGCCTGGCCTCAGACCTCCCCATCAGCTCTCTAGGGGCGAGGCTGGGGAATCTGCATCGTTACAAACCGCTAAGGTGATTCTGAGAATCACACCAACATCATGCTCTGCTGGACTCAAGGGTCCTTGGGGAGGGGGACACCCTCTTCCTGGCCCACCACCTCCGCTGACTTCCGGGGCTCCCTGCCTCTCCAAGGACCACTGTAGTGACTTTTCTGAAAGAGGCCTCCAGGGCTCCCCACTGCCAAGGGACAGAGTCCATACTCCTCCGCCTGACAGCCCAAGGCCTCCCACCCCTCACTGTTCTTCTCCTAAGCCTGTGAATTAATTGCTCAGTGTCCCCAACAACTGTGGTGGCTCATGCCTTTCCTCACACACGGATTCAGCCTTCAGGCCTGGGCTCAGATGTCGCCTTTCTCCAGGAAGCCTTCCTTGTGTGTCTCCTGATCTGCACCCCCAGCCTCTACTCCCCAGCTCCCTTGGATCCCCCACCACAGTTTGATCACAACGTGTTGTAACTATTAGGGTGTGCCTCCCCCTCCAGACTGTGGCTTCCTCAAGGGCAGGGACCATCTCAGTGCTCCTGGCAACTGACTTGGGGATCCTGGGCACAGTCAGTACATAGCACACGTCAGCTGAATGAATGAATAAGTGAATGAACAAATGCATGGGTTCTCATTTAATCTCTGTGACCTTGAGCTACCTAGGCCTCAATTTCTCCCTTTCTAAAATGGGGGAGGGGGTCTCAGAGCAGGGGCTTTCAGGCTAACTGGGAGGTATCTTGGAGCTGAGAGGGAGGTGGGGGGCTGACTCCTTCTGTGGTTTCACACAGAGAAGCTCCATCTGCTTTCACCTGTATTATGAGTTATGGAAGAGTCGAGAAAGGATCTCAGTGCTTAAAAACAAGCTTTCAAGCCACTGGACTGAATGATGTCTAAATACCCTTCTGGATGTTCAGTCTTAATGCTGCAAACAACCAAAGACCTGGATTCCACGAAAGGGGCCTTGCCAGTTGACCATGGTCACCTGCTGACCTGCTATCCCTGGGGCCCGTCAGCTTGGGACATTCACTCCAGACAGACAGGAATAAAAAGGAGGAAGTAGGAGGGCCCAGTGGGATGGTGGGAAGCACAGTAGTGAGTGAGATGAGCCCTCTCTGGAACCGCAAGTTTGAGCAAAGTAACTAAATTCACAAATCTGAAAACGAGAAGGCCGGCCGTTGGTGCAGAGGCTTCAAGGCCTTTGGTGTGCCCGTGCACATAGAGCACACTGGCACCTGCTAGTATAACTGCCTCAGGGGCACAGCGGGGGCCTGAGTACACTTGGCAGAGAGGGTCTGCCACAAAGAGGCATGGTGCCTGGTCAGCAACGAGGAATGCTGCCGGAAACCCATCCCCGGCAGGATGGCTCTGACCTGCCAGACCCAGCCTGGCTCCATTTACCTTCTCACCCCGGTTGGAGAGCGGCCCATCCATATCGGCTTTGAGGTGGACGGGGGGCGCGGTGTAAGGCAGCCGGCAGTGCACCTGCCCGCACTGTACCTGACCTGTGGACGAGAGGATGCCTTGGAGCCCAAAGCCAGCCTCCATGCAGGATCCCAACTGCCCTGTGCTCGGCAGGCTGGAGCCCTGGGATCAGTTTCACCTCTGCTACTTACCAGTTGGTTGGCCCTGGCCAAAATCTCAGTAGGGTTGGTGAAAGTCTATATAATCTATAAAGTGCTATATGTTAACTGTCCGGCTCACTGATAAACAAACACTCATAAATGAATATGTATTGAACACCTTCTACATGCAAGGCTGTACTGCATCTGTTAGGATCCTCCCTCCATGCCTCGTACCTTCGCCAAGGCTTTACCTTCATACTTCCTAGAGGACTTTGCACTCAGATATCACCTTTTTCATGATGCTCTCCCTGACCACTCTATTCACAATTACAACCCCATACCAACACTCGCCTCCACCCTTCCCTGTCTTCCTTCCCAGCATTATTTTACCTCCTCGGCACTTACCATCACCTGACTTACTGTACATTTTCCTTGTTTATTTGATATTATTGATCTTTGCCACCTAGAATGCAATCTCCAATGAGGGCAGGAATTTTTGTCTGTTTTCTAGACTCTAAATCTTTGTGGATTTCCAGTACCTAAAATAAGCCTGGAATCTAGTAGGTACTCTTTAAATGTTTGTTGAATAAATATCCGTGCCCTAATCTGACATCTACGACTATGGGGGAAGTCCATCCTTATGTCGGACCCAAATCTTTCATGTTTCAGCCTCTTTACCCCTACAGTAGGGAAGAAGTCCACGGCCTCTCTCTTCAACAGCTTTGGTAAAAGGAAAAAGCCCTCTGCAGAGACTTATAATTGATATGTAACTTGGGAGTAATCACTGTGCCTTTCTGAGCCACAATTCCCTCTCTATAGAATAAAGCAGTTGTGTATGATTGGCGATTCTTAACCTGGGGTGTTCTAGGAGTCTATGAACAGCTTGATACAACATGGAAAACTATACGTGTCTGTGTATTTTTCTAGGGTCCAGTTCCAAAGCTTTTAATCATATTCTAAGCTCCAAGGCTTTAGGAAACTCAGGATCCTGTGGATTTAGTTAACTGACAAGCAAACTGCTGAGGGGACCTTCAGTCATGCAGCAAGAGGCAGCAGGTCCAAATATCCTTGACACCTCCTGTCCCAAGCTGGGTTCTACCTCAAAGTGAAGAGGAAAGGGCACTTCAGCCCCTTTTCCAGAAGTCAAAGACAGATCTAGCCTTGGTCAACAAAGTATGCAGGCAGAGTCCTAGCATGACTCTGAAAGCCATGGCCCTCCTCCCAAGAGGATCACTTAGATTCACTCCCAATGTCACAGCAAGTACTAGCTGGTAGCCCAGACTCTTGGTACCTACAGAGGCCCTAGAGGACTTTGCACCTTCACAGATGAACCAGATCTTCGACGGGATCTGTGCGGCCTGAACATAAGACATTGTTTAGAAAAGAAAGGAAGAAAAAGTCCCTCCTACTGAACAGATGGTTCAGAAATGGAACAGGACAAAGGGACGCAGTTTCCAACTGGCAGCCTGGTGGGGTAGGCAAAACTCTGCGCTCTCGGCTCTGCCAACCAGAACCATCACCACAATAGCAGCTAATATTTATCCGGCACTTACTGAATGCTGAAAACTTTGTCAATGATCTCAATGTATGCTCACAACACTGCTTTGAGATTAAGTATCCTTATTATCCTTGTTTTTACAGATATGGAAACTAGAATTCAGGGAAACTGAAAAGCTTGCTCAATGTCACATAGCTAGAAGTGGCAGGGATGGGATTTTAAGTCTGACAGTTTCACATCAAAGCCCACAGTCAATCGTTAAGGAACACTGGCTCCAACTAACTTACTGGGACCCTTGGTTTCGTCATCAGTATAATGGGATAGTGACCTCTGATGTTTAGAAACAAGGTTAGGGTCTGGCACATGGCACAGGCTAAATAAATAGCAGTGTCTCTCTGACCTTCCTTCTCTCTTACTTTTACTTGGAACCAGAGAAGGTTTCTGGTCATGCTCAGCTTTGAGGAAACAATCTATGGAAAATCAATCCGAGGGAAAGAAAATTTGTAATAAGCACCTGATCAACAGCAGATTCACTGGATGTGCATCCCCCGAAATGCACAAGGCTGCTCCCTCTCTCCTCCAGGCTCCTGCTCAACGGTCACTCCACCATGACCAACCCCCATCTCCCCTCACAGAGCTCATTCTCCATTGACATGCCTGCCCCACCCCCACCCCAACCCGGCATTAGTTTATTATCTCTCTACCTACCTCCCTCTCTGGATTGTGAGCCCCAGGGGCAAAAAGGGTTTGGTCCATTGTGTTCTAAGTTGTATCCCAGTGCTTAGGACACAGAAACCACTCAAAAAATATTTACTGAATAAGTGAGTGGGTTCTCACAACCCTGTGAGGTAGGCATCATTAATGTCCTAGTGTACAGAGAAGGAAACTGAAGTTCAAGGTTAGGTGATTTGCCCATGGCCCCACAGCCCTGGGTATTCCCACCACACCGACCTTCTTCTGAGACCCCAAATACACCCAGTGCCATCGTCCTCCCAGTGATGGGCTGAAGGTTCCTCTGCCATCCTGCACACCTGTTTCTCCATTCCTTGTGTCTCATTAATCCTACCCATGCTTCCGGTCTCAGCTTGCTGAGAGTCAGCATCTCGACACTCCCATTAAGCATCTTTCCTACACAAATCATCGCAAGTAAAACCACACGTTCGTCTATCTGGTTATTGCTTGGTGTTTCCTCTCCCACCAGAAAGCAAGCTCCACCAGAGCGGGGACTTAACTCATCTTGCTCTCTCCCTAGTCCGGGCCCTGGTACGCAGTGGGTGCTTGGAAAACACTTTTTGAATGAGTGGAAGGCTTGCTCCTACTAAGGCAGAATCAGGTAATTTAACGCCTCATCCCAACCCCTAGGCCCGAGTGACTGTGGAGTCCACACGAGTGGAGGCTCAGCAAGGCCTCCCACGCCTCTGCCGCCCACGCGCTCTCCTCCGTGCCCCACTCGGCCTGGGGTCACGGTCACTTACTCTCAATGTAGCCGTGCAGGGTGACCATGCGTGCGCGCTCTGGGCTGCTGAAGGGGGAGTAGTGGATGTCGTCGGTTAGGGCGGAAGGGAGGCGGGACGGAGGCGCCCCGGAGGGCGGCACAGGATGCTGCGGTGTGTGCTTTTTATGACGCGCCCGGCAGTTTTGAAACCACACCTGGAACGACAGTCTCGGCAGTCTCAGCCTCGCGGAAAAGGGTCGGACGCGCCGCTGGGAGATACCAAGCGGGTCTGCCTCGTCGCCTCCGGAGTAAAGCGGCCACGTGCGCCCGGGACAGTGGCTCCGCGGCACCGCTCTGCGCTCGAGGGAACGCCCCCAGGCCCCGCCCCAGACCCGAAGGCCCACCCTCCTCCGGCCCCACCTGGATGACCCTCCGGCTGAGGCCCGTCATGTCCGCAAGCTTCTGGAGGGTCTGCGCGTCGGGGTTGTTGTCCTGCGCGAACTGCGCCTGCATAACCTGCGGGGCGCGGGGGTGCGGTGAGGCACGAGCGCGCAGAGGTCTCCAGGGCCCTGGCCCAATCAGAGGCTCTGGCCTGCAGGCCACGCCCCATATAGCTGCAGCCCCGCCTCGCCACCCGCGGGTCCGGGAGGGGCGGAGCCAGGAGGACCTCTCAGCCCCGCCCACACCGACGCCCCGCCCACACTTGGCCACTCTCGGCCTGCCCGGGTACCTGCAACTGCTCCGCGGTGAAGGATGTCCGCGCGCGCTTGGCCGGCTTGGGCTGACTGTCCTGCTCCGAGGGCACTGCCCCCTCCAGCGTGAGGCCGTTCCCTGAGGGCGACAGAAGTGGCTGACCACGCGTCCCCATCTCTTCTAGTGGCAGCCTGGAAAGGACGGGGGGATGGGGGTAGCTGGTCCCTGGAAGGGTCAGGGGCGGAATTGGCTGGGAGTGGGGATCCCAGGGTCCTAGTTCCTGAGCTCAGTCTTTGGAGAAAGGGCTTTCGTTTCTGAGCGTCCCTTTAGTACCGGACGCTTCTCTTTCCGTGTGCCCTTTATGTCTCACAGCCCTGAGGACGGATGACACTATCCTCTCCTTAAAATGGCAAAACTGAGGCTCAGAGAGAGGCCCCTGCTCCAGATCTTTCACCAGTATTCTGACAACTGGCTGACTCGAGACCCCAAACTGGGCCCCCTCCTAGCTAATCTGGGGAAACCAAGGGTTCGTAGAGATAGGAAGTAAGCAGGTTACAGAACCGTGATCCTAATTTTGTAATAACTTATGAAAGCAAAGGGTTGGATGGATATCATTTTTTTTTTTTTAACGGATGGAAGAAAAAGTTTGGAAGGTGTTGCGATTATGAGGACTGCAATTTCAATATTTCTATAACTTCAGAGGTTTTTACAACAATCATATATGTCGCCTTACTTTTCTAAGGTTCAGTTTTGTTCACTGGGATATATGTTAGCTATTCTCTTTCCACTTATATTACTTTTACAATCACACTAAATATATCCCTGTTTTATTTTCAATACCTCATTTTTCTGAATACAAAGGTAATACGTGTTCCTTATCGAAAACTCGAAAAGTTCGGATAAGCACAAAGAAAAAAGTTAAAATCACTAGCAATTCCACCACTGTTCAAAATTTATTGTATTTTTTTAAATTAGGAAAAACACTATGTTAAGGGAAAACAAACAAACAAACATACAGACATAGAAAAAAATCTGGGAAGATATACACAAAAATGTAAGGGGTGGTGGCATTCGGAGTGATCTTTATTTTCTTCTTTTTGCTGAACCATCTTTTCTAAATTTTGTGTAATGTGTGTGTGTGTGTGTGTGTGTGTATGAGTTTAAAAAGTAAAACAGTAGCCCAAATTGAGGACTGCTCAGTAAAGGAGTTCCAAGTCCCTAAGCCTTCAAGCTCCCCTGCATGGTAGAAGTCTGGGGTGGGGCTTAGATGGGACAGCAAGAGTGTAATCGGCAAGGCTATGAATAGGGGTGATCCCGGTTGGTCCAGGTGTAGATGGAGCCTGAGATTACTGATGGGCCATGGTGTGGGAATTCCATGCCAGCTCTACTGCTGACTTGCCCACTACCACTGCAGGTAACTTCGTAGGCCCCCAGCTTCCCTTCCTCCCTACCTAAGCCCACTTAGCCTAATCCTGGCAGGAGAAGGTGAGGGCCCTGGTATGGTCATGGCCAGGAATACTCTGAGGATCCCTAACTAGTCTCCAGCCTAGAAAGGGAGATGAGACAGACACTTTGTGGTATTAATGTCTCCTAGGAGAGCAGGCGAGACAAGGATTGGTGTGCCCCTTATTTCAATGAGAAAGTGAAACTCACAGAGGCAGCCATATCCTAGCAGCCTTCCCTGCTTGATAAGATCTGATTCAAGAACCCTGGAGCTTGGGAATGGGGTGCATGGTGGTTAAGAGCTGGGGCTTTGAAGTCAGGTAGACTTACTAGTATGTAACTTTTGGCAAGTCACATACTGCAGGTAACCTCGGTGACTGTTTCCTCACCTATAAAGTGGGGATTAACAGCTACTTCCTAGGGGCGTTGTAAGGATTACATAAAATAATCCATGTTACAGTAAAGTGAGCAGCTTTCACAGACCCAGATAGGGAAAGGGTCTCTGCCTCTGACAACAGCCCAGCCTCTGCTCACTCTATCCAGCTCCCAATCCACCTGTGACTCAGCCCCCACAATCCCTGGAAGACCTGGACCCTATCCCTGAACCTGTGTGTCTTAGGGAATCACAATATCTGAGCCAAAAGAGATTTAGAGATCTTCCTAGTCCACCATCCACCTTGCACAGATGGGGAGACTGATGCCCAGAGAGGAAAGGAAACTTTATATGTCAGCACAGCGTGCCAGAAGCAAAACTGGAGCTCCAGTTCCCAGACTCAAAGGCCTTTCTCCTTACACTCCAGAATGAACCACAGCCCCTAAACTTCTAGCTTGGAGCTGCTAGTATGGTGGTTGGGAGAACAGACAGCTGGAGGGGAAGAGCCCTCTGGCCAACCAGAGCTGTCTAAAGGTAGAATAGGCTGTCCCATTATGAGAATCATCTCTCGGGTTCACTGAGCCTCTCCTGGCTTTACAACACATCCAGTTCATCTATCTTTGAGAAGGTGTCCTACCATTAGCCCCATTTTACAGAAAAGAAAATACAGTTGCAGGGAAAGGCAGTGACTTCCAACTCCCAAGCAAACAGTGGAGCCAGAAGCCTGGGCTCTGTGAGCAGCCTCCAGGTGATAAAGCCAGCACCTGTCTCTAGAGGAGTGAGGGGAGTTCCTGGGGAGCTGGTGTGGGGCAGGGCTGGGGGCAGAGGTGCAGTGGGTGCTGGGCGGGCGAGTTGGGTACCGTTCTCCGCGGCCCTCTTGAGGTTCTCGATCATGGTGTCGTAGTGGATGCGACACAGCACCTTCTCCTCGACCAAGCCAAACTCCTCGCCTGTGGACAGCTGGCGCTTGCAGGAGAAACAGGCGAAGCAGGCCAGATGATAGGCGTTGCCGCGTGCCCGCCGCACCCAGTCGCTGGCGTAGATCTGTCGGCCACACCGTGCGCACTTGGTCCCAAATCGGCTGCGGGACACCAGGGCGGGGAAGGGGATGGCGAGGCTCAGAGAGGCCACCCCTCCTCCCTCCAAATCCTCGTGGTGGCACGCAGGCACCCAGGCTCCTGGCCTCAGGGTCTTCACTCGCTCATGAATTTCCCTCTGCCTGGATCCACCCACACCCACCTCCCTGTAGACAAGTCCCACCTAGAAAGTGAGCTGGTGGGAAGTTTTTATTGTCTTCTTGGTGCTTTTCTGAGTTTCCCAAATTTTCTACAATGGTCACTTACATTTGTATATAACATTAATCTGCTCATTCGAATATATCGAAAGTATCAGATAATATATAATAATGGTAATAATAATAAGCAAATCTTTGAGCACTTACCATGTGCCCAGGAAGATCCTAAGTGTTTTAAGTTGATTACCCCAATTAATCTTCATTTTGCAGATGAGGAAAATGGGGACCAGAGAGTCAAGTAACTTGCACAAGGTCACACAGTTTGCATGGATAGGAACCTGAGATGAATAAACTGTACCCCAGCAATAGAAAAGCTCAGAATTTCTTGGAAGCACAGACATATATTCACTTACTGGCTTGATGACCCTGAACAAACTGTTTAACCACCAGAGTTCTCATTTTCCTTGCCCTGAGCTGAACTAGATGACAACAGCAATGATTACTACTATTTGTTAGTTTTGCAGTCTACTAAGTAACCAGCCAGACTCTGGAGCTCTGTGACAAAAAAGCCCAGATTAAATGCCCTCTTCCCCCTTAAGCCTTCTTTTATTTTGCCTCTTTCTCTTTTAACTTCCCGCTTTGTAATGTAGTTATTTGGATATGGCTGCCTCCACCACCGGACTGGGAGCCCTACAGGAAGCAGCAGAGTCTGATTCCCCTGTCCCAGAAGTCAGCCTAAGGCCCGACCCCTGGAGCACCAGGGAGGGTTTGTTCTTTAAGTGGATATGACCCTGTCCCAACCCTCTGGGCCTCAGTTTCCTCTGTGCACGCTCTATTTCAGGGAGTGGTGCCAAGAGTCATCCAGCGTCTCAAGCTTAGACACCCAAATCATACGCTCCTCCCTCTCCTCGACCCCGCATTCGACCAGTCATAAGGTGTTGTTGGTCCCTTTCCTCAGTATCTCTGGGACCCATCTCCTCCTCTTCACTGCCACTGCCCTCCTCCTAGGCCAGTCTCCTGTCATGCACCCCTCTCTGCCAGTCTCAACCCTGGTTTCCCTGTTTCCAGGGCCGCTCCTGGCCACTCATCCTCCACAGAGCAGCCACAGTGGAGTTTCCAGCATGCACACAGAATCCTGTCCTGCCCTGCTTAAAATCTGGTCCAAGATCCTGGAATTCACAAACCCCAGCAGACCACATCCTCTCCCACTCATCTCCTCCTCCTTCACTTTCCTCAAGATCCTCCACCCCACATGCAAGCTTGAGTCCCAGTCAGCCATATTGGAAGGTCAGTCCCGGGTCTTTATGGTCCCCCTCTGAAGCACTTTCCCACCTCCAACCTCTGCACTGGCTGGAGCCTCTTCCCACCAGAGTGACACAGGTCCCGGGACCACCCTTTCCGCACTGATCACTACGGTTTGCAGAAGTCTAGTTTCTTGGCTCTCCCTTCCACCCCTGGGAGAGGACCAAGAAGATTTGCCTCTGTGACCACAGAGCCGGCACATTTCCACCCGGAGGAGCAGGAGGAGCATTTGGAAATGCCTCTGAGTTTGTAACCAGTTTGTAACCAGTCCGGCAAATGCACACACTGGTTACAGCCTCGCCTGCCTTGGCAAATGCAAGCAACTGTCAAATGAATAAACGGTCTTGGATTGAACTGAGTGCGGGAGCACGGAGGCCTCCGCCAACCCCGGGTCCCCTACGTCACCGCGATGCAACTGACTCCGACCAGGGGCGGTTCGCTCAAACCACGCTGCGTGCCTTTGTCAGGTCAAATGACCCCTAAACAGAGGCGGTTCCCAACCTCGGAACCTCGGCTTCCCCTGGGGAGAGCCCAGCGCAGCCTGTGAGCCCTGTTCCCAATCCCTCTCAGTAAGGGGGAGGGGAAACCGCTCTGCCCACCGCAGTTCTACTCCCGACCCCAGATTCTGCTGCGGGTCTGGTAATGTCCGGACTGAGAGCAGTTTCTGGCCTCCTAGAGGAGGGAGCAGCCAACCAAGTGCTGAGCCCTTGCTGCGGTCCGGGGTCCTGGGAAGCACCGCCTTCATTGCACCTCCTCTGCTTCGCCGCAACCACGTGACGTGGGGACTCTGGCGCCCACTTTGCACACGTGGAATCGGAGGTTCGGAGCGGGCAAGTGACTTGCCCAAGACCACAAAGAGAGAGGGGCAGGGTTGAGATCCGCCTGGAGGTGCAGGAAGGACCTCGAACCTGCAGAAGCAGCCGGACAGGAGATGAGAAGAACTGGATCGCGGGCGGCGTGTGAACAGGGAAGGGCTCTGGTCTGACCACGTCGCGCGCCCACTCCCGGCGGCCGGTCCTGGACACTCTGGCGCGCACGTCCTGGGGCCCAGCGGGTTGGAGAGTGTGTGCCCAGGGATCGGGGAGCGCCGCCGCAGGGAGGGCCCGGCCTCCACAGGCCAGGCTAGAGGGGCTGCGTCTCTGAAGGGCTCTGGTCTGACCACGTCGCGCGCCCACTCCCGGCGGCCGGTCCTGGACACTCTGGCGCGCACGTCCTGGGGCCCAGCGGGTTGGAGAGTGTGTGCCCAGGGATCGGGGAGCGCCGCGGCAGGGAGGGCCCGGCCTCCAGAGGCCAGGCTAGAGGGGCTGCGTCTCCCCGCTGCAGTCTCTGCGCCGCGGCCGCCGCGCCGCGTCAGAGAGTCCGACGCCGGGTACTCTTCGCACTTGGCGGTGCCGGATTCCTTGTCTTCCTCCAGACGCGCGTCCCAGACACCCCTTATCTTCCCGCACCCCTTCTCTTCCGGTTCTACGAGTCTGCGGCGCCCGAGCGCATTCTGCGCCTACGCTGGCTGCTCACAGTGTCCCCATCCTCTTGATCCTAAGCAGGCGCCGCGAATGATCTCTCAGTAACTTTCTCAAACAACACTCCCTGTGTCACCCCAAATGCCGGGGGCTGTCCCCGACCCTAGGATCTCGCCGCGCTCGCTGTAGCTCGGCCCAGTCAACGAAATCTTCCTGGCGCTGGATCCTTGGGTGGGGGTGGCGGGGTCATTACGCAGTTTGGGATGCGTTGCGGGCCGCTCCTGAAGCGTGTTCCCCACCCAGGGCAGAGGTCAGTGGCACAAACAAGGGGCACGAGGAGGCTTACGGATCGAGGCTCTGACAAACCGACAGACTCCTTCCCAGGCGGGCTGCGAGGCCCGAGCCGCCGGATTCCGGAAGCAGCGAAATTGGCGGCGGAGACAACGAAACTTCAAGAAAGGGGTGTTCGGGAGCTGTGAAGGGAGCGCCAAAGGGATTAGGGGGCGCGGCTACCGCCCTCCCCCCACCCCCAGCCTTGTGCGCTCCCCTCCCAGGGTCCGGGCGCGCGCCGTGGGGTAAAGGCGCAAAGGACTAAGGCGCTTTGGGGATGGAGAGGTGTCCGACAGATGCTGCGCATCCTAACAACTGCTAAAGGAGTAGAGTGGGGTTCACGCACCTCCTTGCCCCTCTCTCTCCTCCGAACGGGGAGCACTGATAGCTGAGTAATCGTGATTGTGTGGAGGAGCTGTGCGCCCTTGACAAAGTCAGGCTCACTCTCCCGGCCTACTTTCCCAGGATAGCGAGTAGGCGCTCGGTCATTAATTGTTGGAAGAATGAGCCTCAACGAAAGAGCCCATCAGAGTTTCACTAAGACCCCAGTTCCCATTATTAAGCCACCCTTTTTCTGCATGAGGAAACCGAAGCTCAGAATGAGAAGGTTCGGAATGAGAAAGCGCGGAATATGAAGCCACTGAGCCAGGGTGCTGAGAGTCAAACCGGAGTTCACTCATTTTACCTTCAGGACGCTCCCTTGGATGGCCTTAGATTCTAAGAGGCCAAACGAGAGGGATTGGAGGTGGAGCCCTGCCTATCCGTTCTGTTCCTTTTCTTTTAAGCAAACTCTTAGGAGAAGCAGCCGGAAAAAACAGAACCAGCAATTAAGAGGTTAAAACACCCCGCGCCTCGGAGGTCCCGGCCGGAGGCCCCTCCCCCGAACTCCTCTCTCAGCTCCCCCAACATCTGTCCCCCAACAGCTGGCGGCCACTGGGCCGCTCTCTGCCGCGGTGGGGGGCCGCTTCCCAGCTCCGAGCCTCCCCGGGGACCCTAGCTGTAGGGGAGGGGGTGGAGTTCTCCCGCCGGAGCCGGGGTCGGAGCTTGGGCTCTAGGCTGAAGACCCAAGAAGGCTGGGGGCTTGCCCTAAGTCACGTGGGCCAAGCTGGGGACAAGAACTTGAGGCAGCAGCCCCTTGGCCCAGCCCAAGGCATTCTCTGAAGTTCACCCCATACACACCAGGAGAAGTACTTAACCCTTTACTCCCCACTCCCATGGTCAGGATGCAAGGCCAGGAACCACAGTGACCTTGAACCTGGCAAAGGTAATACAGTCAGGGCCTCTGAAGAGGTCACTCCTGCCTCAGTGTTCCCAGAGCCCATCCAGGGAGAGTCACACATCAGAGCACACAGCGGGTGCTCCTTCTGTGAAGCCAGTCAAACGAGGGAATCTTAAGGCCAGGTGAGAGATCTTTGTCATTCCACAGGCCCCACCTAGTAGAGAGGGGCTGCTGACACATCTCACCTATAGAAGAAGCCCATTGAATGTTTAGAGTCAAAGATGGTGGAGTCAGGTAACGATGGGGTTTATCTAGCCTCTGCCGCTTATTAACTATGTGACCTCATCTCTCAGAGCCTCAGTTTTCCCTCTTATAATGTGGGGATTATGCGAAAATCATAATCACAGAGTGTACCTGAGGATTCAATGGGATGAAGCATGGAAAGGGTTAACACGGTTTCTGGCTTAGGAATGAGCTCCAAACATTCTGATGATCAGTGTCCTCTCCCCTGCCCAGCACCTCTTCCACTCTCCCTGTGTGACCCTGGGCTCTTCACTTGCCACTCTCCCAGGACATCAGTCTCCCCAACAATGCAAGGGACATGATGCTTCAGAAGGCTGAGAGAGCCAGAAGGGCACTGAAGATCAGTCCACAGCCCATTTAGGGGGCAGCAGCTACAGGTCAGTGGATGAGAGGAAGCTGTCTGGGCTTGTGGTTGCTGAGGGCAGTGGAAATATGAATGCCCTAAAAAGGAATGTGATTTTTTTCCCCAGGACTTTTCTTTATTTCTTGGAAGAAAATGGAAAGAAAAATAGTCTTAACAACAATAACAACAACAAAAAGTAAAGAAATTAAAGAGCGATATCATCTTTCCCCAGTGGTAATTTTTTTCTGCGAAGATTCAAGACATGAGGGGAAGTGGGAATCTGGTTGAACCCACAAAGGCTGGTGAGGTCCCTGTTTGGAAGGAAAGTTGGAGAAACTGAGGCAGAGAGGTCCAGCAACCTGTGTGCCAAGGGCAAAACAGCCAGTGGAAAAACAACTGCTCCCAATAACGCAAATGAGCCAGAGGCAGATTTGGACCTCAGGGCTCCCTGGTGAACTTGGAGTGCTTTTCTAACTTATAACGTCTAGCTCTGCTACGGGTGACTGAAAGAGGGTCTGCAGGATAATGTCAAGGAGGAGCAAGATGGGGGATGGAACCCAGAAGAAACCCTTCACTGAGGGATAAGACCCTACTGTCCCTTCCATAGGGTCTTAGCTACTTCCTCCCTCCCTCCCTCCCTCCCTCTCTCCTTCCTTTTGAGAGGTCTTGGCTTCTCTTAGGCTGAGAGCTCCAGTCCATATCTCAGCAGACCCTTGACCTTGGGCTTCAGGAAACAGAGGGCTAGAGAATCTCAGGGTATGGCCCCTCCCTGAGCCCCAGCTCTTAAGAGGGGCACTGTACCTCCCAAGCCACCATTCATGCTCTTTCCAGGAAGACCTCCCTTACAACAGGCACCCGGAGTTCAGGCTGCTGCTCAGAGCAGACAATAGTCCCTGCCTGGCACTCTGCCGGCTTTTCCTTTCCCTTTTTGTGGGTTTTATTATTTTTGTTACAGGTGGGGCTGCCAGGGATGGGTTATGCCTGCAGGGAAACCTGGCTGGGGGAGAAATGATCAAAAAAGCCACAATTCTTCCCTCCTCCAAGGGAATGTGAGCTTTTATTCCCTCCATTTTCTTAACCAAAAATCTGTTTTAGTTTTGCTTTGGGGGCTCTTGTCACTGGAAAAGGATTAGCGCTCAGAACCTGAAGCCCAGAAATGGCCCATCCCCATCTCTCCAGGCAGACCCTGCTCCTCAAACTGCCTGAGGAAATGCCACCAGGGGATGGTACCCAGCATCCACCCTGCCATGGTGACAAAGGTGATCATTGAGGTACCCACAGCATCTGCCATTTGGAGAGCCTCGACTAAGCCTTCCTCCCTTCACTCTCTCCTTGGCAGCTCAGAGAGACAACCCTGGAAGTAGGACACTGGGGGCAGAGAGATGAAGTGATTTGCCCAAGGTCACAGTCACACAGTGATTTGGTGTTTGCCTGACAGAGCTGCACATCCATCCTCTACCTCACTGCGGTGGAAAGAGGGACTCGGAGTCAGTGAATGTACTGGACAGTGGGGTCGGGATCTGAGTTCTGACTGATCCTTGTATATCTAGTAAGCACAGCAACCAAGGAAGCTCAGTCCAGCCTGGGCATGAGCTGAGGCTAGAGAAGCAGCAAAGAAATGTGGGCACGTGGTTCATAGGGCTGCCAGGTCTGTAGTCACCAGGAGAGCCAGGAGAGAGGTCCAGCTCTGCCTTACTCTATAGAAAAAGGCTGAGATATCAACCTGCTGGTTTCCTCAGGCAGGACATGAAGTCCTGTTCCCGGCTAGCTGATGAGCCCAAGGAGCTCTCAAAAGGTAGCTGGCTTCTTTTTTACCAGCTGGAGTCAGGCGTAGAGCAAGGAGGTGGCTAGACGGGAACTCTAACCTCCATTTCCTGTCCTGGCCAGCCAATAGCCAGATGGAACAGTGGGGGAAGATATCACACTCTGGTTACAAACCACACAATGATAACCCTGCTCTGACATACACACACACAGCAGACCACACCCACAAATCCACATTCACGTCACATTTTTGAGCCCTCAGTGTGTGAGTTCAGGCCTGAAGCAG